ACAATCATTACTCCCTTTCCCAGGTTGTTGGAAAGAATAAACACCCTCGAGACACAGAAAGCTTCAGCCCTGGGAAAAGCTATTTCTGGCAATGCCATTTCAGTCACCCGTCCTAGCCCAGGTCGAAGCACTGACAGTCACTCGGGTCGTGTCAGCACCCAGAGATGCAGGACATTCACACAGCTCTTCACATACAGAAATTCTCCACTTAAGCAAATATGCTACAACAATTGAAATTTAGGTAAATTTTCACAGCCATTACTGTAAGAAAAATCCCCTGAGTTTTACATCTGTTTCAAGGCACAAAGGGGCTTAAAATATTTCAGATTCAATGGTTGTAAGATATTATAATGAAACATTGGCATGCAACATTTTAGTAGGAAATTGCTATATTTTGACAAACTGAAAACATTCTCACACAACTAAATATTTGGCAATCCTAGCAGCAAACAGTTAGTCCTGCTGGACATGTGTGTGCATGGCAGAAAACAGCTTCTGCAACACTGCCATTCAAAATACACAGGAAACATAATTTCTCCCACCAGCTTTCCAAACAGGAACACCAACTATCTCCTACAACTGTTAAAGTTTTAGATCAATGTTTTGGATAATAAAGAGACAGATAACTAAACAATAATCCTCAGTTAAAAATCCTAGGAAGGGCATGCAAAATTTAATACCTGGCCTACTAAATTCTGACACAGCACCTCTTCCCTACACAGGCCCATCCCTAACTTCATACTCCCAAAAATCCTGCAAGTATCACAGCAAAAGAAAATTACTGCTATTGCAATTAAACAGTCAAACTATACCTACCATGTATGATCAATACTTATCAGAAAATCCTACTTTCTGCAAAAGCATCTCTATCTTTCTAGAACATTGTCAGGACAGCAATCCTCCAGAAAACAGCTGGGAAAAAAACAAGTGACACTTCTCCATCTCCAGAGAAAGTGGGTAACTCTAACAGCTGCTCCTCCCAAAGGGCTGCCACTACAACATGCAGAGATGCCCAAGGGCTGTCCCCTCTGGCCCTGCAGCCACCTCTCACCATCACAAGCTCAGGCTGCAGGCACAGGGATGCTGCAGTGGAGTCCTGGCTGCTTCACACAGGCAGGAGCAGCGCCCTGCTGGCAGAGCTGCCACTGAATGAGGCTAAAATTGCTTCCAAGCTCATGAAAGGGCAGGCTACCCCTTACACAGGTAAGGCAGCCAAGCTCAAAGTGTTGCAAAGAAGTCTCAAACTCCAGAGCTAATGTACTTTGGCACGGGAAGGAGGGGCTGCATTCCAGACCATGTGGAGAGGAGAAATTGCCTGATGCAGTTTCATACAGTGAAGCCCAAAATATCCACCACTAGTGAAACACTGAAATTAGAATCAATGAGATTTCAAACAAGTCTGAACAGAGCTCCAGCTCCTGCAAGGAACAATTTAGATCTGCATCAGTTGCTTGGAAAGAAGTGACTACTCCTGCATTTGGACTATCCTATAAAAAACAAGTTCAAGGACAAAGAATGCTCTGGTTCTAGCTATAGAAACTTGAGATATCAATAGGAATTTCATACTGATTAAATATTTTAAAATATTTGTTATTTTACCTAGCTAATTATAGAATGCTTATCTTTAAATGAAGTTGAAAAAATAAACACAAACTGCTGTCTGAGGAGTGGCTGAAGTGCCTAGGTGACATTTTGTAGAATTCAAGTTATTTCCCATCTATCTTGAGGAAGCTGCACACATATTTTCAGCTTTTCAGATGAAAGCTTTCATGCTTGTTTCCAAAACATGATTAACTTCCTTAAGATCTGTATGACATATTCAGTTTAAAGTTTGCATTTTTTGGTGCACTAAGATTATTTGCCAGAAGAACCTAAAAGCTAAAAATAACCACAGAAATTAAACAGACTTTGAAGTTTATTGCTGAGTTTAAAAACCCCAAGATTTTAGTGCCTTGATAACATCCCTTCTTGCAAGCCTAGTAATTTTATATTTAACCTTAAATAATATACTAATTATTCAGCAAGATAATTCAAATTCTCTTGTTCCAACATCTTCACGACAGACTTTACTAACTAGCTCTTTTTACTGAATTATTAGAATGTATTTTCTTAATTAATTTAGTAGATTCTTCTTTATTTGCGGCAATTTCTTTATCCAATATATCAACCGCTGCTTGAAAATAATCTAAAAAACCCACAGAAAATTTTCATTTTGTCAGTGTTTGTGGCAGAGGAGAACCATGACTAATAAGAAAAGAGACCAAGCCTCAAACTTGCCTTACAACATTTCATTGTATTGCAGAAGAAGGTGGCATTATGAGGTAACACCAGTTCTCATTAACTACCCTGAACCTTGGCAGCCACCTACTATCACATGTTCTGCAGTGGAGACCACAGACAAACAGCAGACCATGAGCAATTGGGACTTAGCACAAGAGTTAATCATCATTTACTTGTAGTACCTTTGAGGTAATAGTATCCAGGAACCTAAGCCACTGACAGAAAAATCAGGAGCTTTTCCTTTTTTCCCCATGCCCACAGAGGGGTTACAGAGGTGTGCTGAGGTACTGCAGTGCAAAACCAGCTACGGGTCAAACACAAACATTTCCCTCTCAATGATGTTTCCCTCTCAGTTTTACTGATATGCCAATATGCCACATTCAAGAATTCTAGCAGGCCATTAAAAGCTGTACAGTAAGAAATCCTCAATTTTGAACAGTCTTGCTTTTGAGAATGGAGGCTATATTGAAACGTCTCTCTGTGACAGAGATAATTAAAAGAATAATTAAGGTAAAATGGATTAAATCTGTGTACATACATACATAAACACAGCAGCAGAGAGAGCACGAGATACCTCTGCTTTCGTTTTGTGATATGTAAATGCCAATGCACAGCTGCTTTTTTTTGGACATACAGCAGATTCTATGAATTCTATTAGAATACATCTGAATGCACCAAGTAATTTTACTCAGTTGTCTCCTCAATGGGGACAAAGAGAGCATTATTTGCAGGTGACAAGAGCGAGGATATAAAAGCTGGGCAGCAAGGATGCCGTTCATTAAGGGAAGAACTAAAGAATTCTGTGAGGCACAGCAACCCTATAAATATTCTCTGATGTGCCAATAATGTCATAACAAATACCTAAGTAAACTAGTTGAGTAGTTTTCCCTCACATTGGTTTTAGTGTCATTCAAGCTGTGGTCATTTACAATTTCAGAAACATCCTTGATCCCCTCTACAAATCACACAAGCCTGGTACCCAAACACTGTTCTGAGGGTGACTCGACATTTTCCAACAACTTACAGCAACATTCTAGCAAAAACATTGGAAACCAAAGCAGTTTATTTGTCTTGATAAGACAACATAGTTATTTACCTTCATAGTGTGACAGGCAGCCACCCTTCTAGGAAAATTCTATACTATTCCATATCATTATTTTCCAGGCAATTTTTAAAATACATTTTTAAGACTGGTGAGCCCCACATTTAAACTCATATTGTCAAAGTAATCTACCAAATCATTTCCTCCACCAGGAGCATGAAGACACAGTGCATTGTGACATCTCATACATATTTAATAATAGCCTGATAGGCTGTCATTAACATCAAACAGCAATCTAAGTTTGCTACATTAAACATGATCCCTGTGTTAAGAGGACAATCACAAAGTGCCTCCAAGATCGAGCCTGTAAGAAATACCCACCGACTTGAACAAGGTGTAATGAGGCCAACTGCACTGAAAAAGCCACACACCAGATTTAAAATTAAATAATAAAAAAAAAAAGCAAGAGAAAAAAGAAAAAGCTTCAGTGGGTCATAAGACCAGACATGCCATAAGGCAATCTGTCACAGAGTACTCATATTAGTAACTGTTGTGTCAAAACTGAACATTCAAAAGAAAAGACAAACCTTCCTTTATGTTTTATGAAATGTAAGCCCACAGAATTAATAATTCATGAGATGAAGAAAAATATCACATTTGGCTATAAATATTAACAGATGCTGTCAACCTGCTTAGAACTAAATTTTGACTGTCCTACCTCACAATTATCAATTTAGAAAGGAATATTCTTCAAAAGCTCAAAAAAAAAGTCAGCTTGAAAGTCATTAATGAAGAAATTAACATTCTCTATTCATGTAGGTCCCAAGCAAAACAGCCTAACTGTGTTCTGTGCCCGGTGCTGCTGAGTGAACACTAATTGACTGGCATTGTTTGTGCCCACAGTGGTGCTGTGCTGTGTTGACAGCAATAATGCTGGTGTGCACATAAGGAAAGATGCTAAAAGGACATACTAGACCAAAGACACAGTGAAAAAAAGGGAAGGGAACAAGAGGAAGTAGTTGACAAATAACAAATAAACATTAAAAAAAGGTAGTTAAAACTTCATATAAGTTTTAGAATACAGAATTTTATACAATGGCTCTTGGATAAATTTTTCTCATCAGCTAAATAGGCATTTAAATATTACAAAAAAAAAAATACAGTTAACCCATACTGCACAACCACATATCAGTAAACTCACTCCATGTGACCTCAAAGAACTAGGAAATACATTTTTAACAGTTCAAGTTCAAGATCTAGAAGACACTTCTGCTCTATGGCTGCAGTTCTCTGCTTTCACTGCTATTACTGAAAACAGAATATCCAAACACAAAACGCAATCATGCCAAAATATCCAGACTCCCATTAAAATGGATTGTTCTAAATGGTGGTGACAGTGCTTTCCTTTACAGGCTCTTTTTTTTCTCCCCAGTGCTAATACAACTTCAGTCTACTTATGGCCCCATCTGCACTTACATTCTGAGCAAAGTGTTAAAAATACTAACATAAGCATCAATATTGGCATACACTAAAAAAAAAAAAAAAATAAACAGACTACACACCTTACTTTTCTATCCTGACATTTTCACTGCATTTCACCCAGTGATGATCACACAGAATGAAAAGCTGAAGTTGAATATTATAAGGTCTTATTTTTTTAACAGAAGTTAATCCCTACCTTTATCATTCTAGAGAGATCTCCAGCATCTGCTAATTCCAACACTATGTTCAGTTCATTGTCTTCAATGAATGAGGCATAATATTTGATTACATTTGGATGATTCAGTTGCTAAGAAAGAAAAATAGTAATTCACATTTTAGTATCGAGCACACCCCATCTTTCAAGACTGACATAGGAAACATTCTTATTCAGACAAACAAAACAACCCTTAAACTCTATTTCACTATGATACAAATTACAAAAAGCCTATGTTGATGAGAAGCATTTACAAATACTTTGCAGCAACAGGATGGCATTTTAGGATCTACATAGTGACTGCCATTGCAATTTTAGAGGAATTTTGCTTCAATGTATACATCCAATAGCATGCTAAATTCATCTGGAGGAGTTAAGTCCATTTTTGAAGTAAATAGCAAAATCAATTTTTGAAGTCAGGATTTTACTGTACAAAGGACACAGTCATACACAATATTGCAATTTTGGCAGAAACTTTAACTTGAAGTGTAACTCATTCTACTAGATTTAATTCTCAGTCCTAACTTTTAATGTAATAAAGACCACAAAATTCTTCAAAAGTGAGGCTTACAAAAAGTCTACACAAAAAACAGTGAGCATCTCAATTATGTCTACAAAAAACATAACACTTTTTGATGATGGTTGCACATTTTCTAAACAAATCTTTTACCTTAAGAAGATCTATTTCTTTGATGCAGTCAGCACGGGCTTTGGCATCCATTAAATCAAATATCTATGGACAAGAGATAAAATTTTATTAAGTGATAAAAATAGAGTAAATTGAGTAATCATCATTATTTCATAGCATCCATAAAGCAACCTGAATTATGCATTTCATGGCAAGATGTAATATTACAGTAAGAAATATTTCTAATTCTCTGAAGCACTGATTTAGTGTTGTGGCCATTCTTTTAGCCCTCTCATAGGAAACAAGTCCATTTTAAGTACAAGCTTTCAAATCTCAGGCTCCTATCCCATTCTGCCACACCATTTTCACAAACTGATTCCTTAGTACTGAGCATACCTTTTTTCCCCCCTTAATCTTGCTACAGTCTTCCATTTCAATTCTTAATAACACATATTATTTTACTCTCAGGATCAAAACTTCACTATCATCTCCAACTCCTCTCCTGTTTCCTTCCCTTCAGCCAGAAAAGTATTGACTTGCTTTATGCTATTTGTTTATTAGAGCCCTTTTTTCTAAGCTTTCATCTTGATTTTTACAGGCTTTTAGAGTTAGACATCTTCTCTTCATTTTTTTCCCCATCTCACATCTCCAAATTATTTTGCAATGTATCTCATTTTTGCCTTCTCCAGTTAGCCACTCTTCACTAATTTCAATTTTTGTTTGAAGTACTTTTTCCTGCCATTAGACTCTTTGTCCAAATTCTACACATCTATATTTAATGTAATGTCTATTTTCACTCCCTTTTTTACCATCTCTGGGTTTTCACTTCACTTTCTCAAACGTGCACCTCCATACATTGACTATTTCCCTTAAAAATTACCAAAATGCTACTTCCTCTAAGAATCCTTCCTCTCTCATCTGTGATTACTTTCTGAATTTAACAAACAAGTTTAACAAAACCAAAAAAAAAATATCACTAAATTCTTTCTGGTCTGTGTAACATATCTAACTATCCAGAAGAATAAGAGACAACCTCAGCTTTATTCATCACCACAACAGTTATGGAATTGGCTTTTCCAGTTAAAACTTTCAGTGCACATCATGTTTCTAGATAGTCACCAAGAAAAGATTTTGTCCTGTGAAGATGACAGGTATCTGGTTCCATAAACTCAAAATAATCAAAAGCTCAACAGCTGACAATTTCTATTTAATATCTTGCCACTAATCCCACAAACAAAACCATGGATTAACAGCAGTTTCAGCACTGAATGTCTGCAAAGATCTCAAACCGACTGTAACTGCTCACATGAATTACACCTTCCTTCCCTCTTCCCAAAGAAGTTCAAACAAATCAGGGAGTCTGTACATGATTTGCTAAACCTCACCTTTATTTTCCACACCACTCTGCACAGTGAGTTTGTCATTGCTTTAATCAACTGAAAGGAGAAGTTTAGAAACTTCATGTGTGGAGCCCAGGGCTCAGGAGAGGCTCTTGACTAACCACTGCTTCTCCTCACACATCCCCACTTCTGTCCTCACAGCTGGCAGCACAGAGAGGAGCCTGTGCTGGACACCAGACTCACTTCTCAAACAAGAGGAAAACATAAAATACAACAAATGGCAGACTTGCAGATAGTAAGAAAAGGGGTAGAAAAAAAAAGAAGAAAAAACTACAGAGTAAGAAAGAAAGGGAATAAGTCACCACACAATTACTTGTATACTAATGCCAGGATGATGAAAAATATTCAAAAATGAGTTATTTAAGCAGGAGACTGTGCTGTGTTTTAACAGAAACACAGCAAGTTAAGTAACAAAAAAGGAATGCTAACAGTAAGAAATAAAGCAATTTCAGATGTAGTAGAAGAAAAGTACTATATGTGAAATTACAGGTACAAGCATTAAAAGATAAGTAACACTGATGAAAACAGAAGAGAGCTTCTGAGTTCAAGTTGGAAACTTAGTGAAGGAGATGAAAGAGCCTGCATCTGTTATAGATCTACACTTTGAATGAAAAACTATTGCTCTTTAATAATTCTGACAACAGATTAAAGTCCTAGGGTTTGGTAGAGTCACGAGAGAGTCTAATGATTTTCCTAGGAAACATTTTAGAAAATCCTAAATATTACAGGTAGCACACTAACTGAGAAAATACTGAGAAGGCATGAAATCAAATATTTTTCATTATAATTTGAGAGACCAAAAAATGGAAAAATGTATACACCATCTCCCAAAAACAACCAACAAAACTGTACTAGGAAGCAAGGAAAAAAGGGAACAGGTACAGGAGAACATCTTGAGGCTTCAGTTTTTGCCAAGCTCTAGACAACAGTGAGATAAGATCATTTCCTATAAATGATACAGAGATCCAACTCCAAACACACTGGAAAACGTAATCAAAACAGGGGACAGAATTTCAGACTAAAAACTGTACACAAACGATCTCCGTCTAAGATTTGGAAAATTACCAGAAACACAGATTCAAGATTCAAACCAAACGAGCTTCATTGTGTGACAAAACAGGGCAGGTTTCACCTGTTAGTGGGTATTCCAATATGCCAAGAGGCATACTAATTTACCAATTCCAGGAACAATTCCCTACACACCCAAACTACCAGGTTTTCCAAGAGAGGATTTTTTTTTACAAGTTATGCCTCTGCTAGGGACATAAATCAGTACCTCTCATAGAGCCATAAGAAAACAACAAAAATAAAACTCTAGACCCAGGGCTGTAAAAAATGTAGAACCAAGGCATAGGAAAGAAAGAAAATTTTGTTTGTATATTCTGGTTACCATTCCCAGTACTTCTAATTTGTTATTAAACAGCATGGAATAGACGAGACCAAGCAGCTGCTTTCCCCTAAGGACAGACTGAAGTTTTATAAGCATCACTTCCCCTCTACTTGTGCTGCACTTCATCTTTGCACATTTGTCACAGCTTCGGCTAAACTGAGTATTTCAAAAATTACCTAAATTAAACATAGTAAGGCAGTAAAATAAGACTTATCTGATCCATACAACTGCACATACAGACAATCTTAAGATTTATTGTTTAGCATACTTGTGGCTCTCAGATTTTGATCCAGATCTAACCACAAAAGACTATAAATAGCATTTCCCAGAAATCCAGAATTTCAGTTTCACAGACATTAACTTCCTCCAACAATAAGATTTGCTAAAAAAAAGCTAACTAAAAAAAGGCCAAAATATTCCATCTAGGGCCTCTGAAGAACCTCTGAATCACACCAGATGCAAAAAGCTGTCAGAGATTTTTCTCTCTGAAGAAATGATCTTTTATTTTGCCAAACCGCTGCAGTTCAGACCAGAGGATGCCAGTGCAGTAAGCCATGTCAGCTCACACAAGGAGGTTACTGTAAACACAAGGAAAAAACCTCTGTGCTTCCTCACCAGCAGATGACTCAACACTGAGGAACGTCTTACCCTGAAAAATGGGAGCTGCAACGCAAGACTTGAAGAACATCCTCTCAGTGCATGTCAGAGCCCCACGGGCAGCTGGCAGCACCCTGAAGGTTTGTTTAGCAGGAGGGGCTGCCCTTTGCCTGTGGTTTGCAGCAGACTGCCCATTAGTGCAATACTGGAGGGATGTCAGTGCTTCCATCACCACTGCAACAGTTTATAGCTTTGCAGGCAGATTAATTCCACCTTCAGCTCCTATGACTCAGCAAGCCCAGCTGAAAGGTCAGCCTGTGCTCCAGCAGGAGCACTGCACACAGATCTCTCTCTCACACACAACTTTTAGCCCTGTACAGACAGTGCCCCCCTTGCCATCAGCAGGCCACAGGTCTCATGCACACTGCCTAAGGACTTCCAACCTTTTGTCCAGCCTTCCCTGGGACTGCACTCGTGTTGAGCTTGGCTCTAGCTGTAACAGCACATGCCCTGCAGCTCAGTGACTTAACTGTAGCTAAGTCATTGCAGTCAAATGACTTGTGCCTAACCCGGTTTTAGATCCAGCCCAGCTCTGTGCAACTGCAGGGCCTGAAGGAAATTATGGCAGATAGAGCAAAAGTCTAAAAAAAACTGGACTTTTGGATAGGCTTGAACAGTAAGCTTTTGGATCAACACAAACTGACTGCTTAAAATCACCCAGCAAAGTCTCACATAAAGACACTACGAGCATCCTCCTCCCAGTAGAGCTCAGGTCACTGATGATGCTCCACACATCGATTATTGGAACTAGTAATTAGACAACAAGTGCTATCATCACTGTAATTGGCTAACAATAAAAACTGCTGTACTTAGACTAGACTGCTAGGATATTCATCAGACTAACAATAATTCGAATTCTTGACTCCACTTATGAGGTCAGGATCACAGGGTAATTCAGTTTGCAGGCATGCTTCTCTAGTCAGCATCAATTCCACTCAGCACAAACTGCACAGCGTAATACATTCTTATTTAAACTTTTAATTCTTTTCCCCAAATTTCTATCTTCAAGGACTATAATAAAATCAACATTTCTAAAAATGAATTATGATTGTATTAAAAAACCTAATAAGCAGCAAACAATAGAGTAAATATTTTTATGATGTGACAGTTTTCATAATGGGTGTAATGAAGAAGTCTAATTGTGGTAAGCTTTCTACCTTAGCTAGCAATTACTGTGAAACTCCTTAAAACAATTAGGCAAATACAGATGAAGATATTTAAAGGAGCATTTTAAAGGCCCTTAGCAGTTTCTTTCCCACTGAGCAACTGAATGAAATAAACCATTTTAGCTCTCAGTTTTACATCTCATCCTGCAATCAACTGTGTACAAAGAGAGAGTAGAAGGACAAAGATACACTGATAGTTATCACACCTCTGTGTGCTATGCAACTAAGGGATCTCTGGTAACTTTACACTCAATCTCTTCTCTAGTACCTTCATGTGAGCATAGATTATAGTCATCTTTTTCAGCATTCCAGAAATGTCAGTTGTAAGTACTGTCAAGAGATATCGGTATTTTTAGAATACTTTCTAAGCTGTTATAAGCTACAGAGCAGGAACTGTTCCTGTGCAGATGTGTAAACTAAACAAAGGAGTTGCAATGTATGAATTCAACTTCCTGACTGGAGTTCTTATATAGATGTCCCCAGAAAGCCACGGGCAGAGCAAAAAGGTTTAGAAACACGGAATCACATGATGGAGAACATCAAGCCCTAAGCTTCTAAGTCCAGACTGTATCTGATCCATTACCAGCTACCAACCAAATCCCTCATTTGAGGGGCAGTGCCAAGTTGGGAATCTACCTGATTCCACTTGCTCTAGACCATCACTTTTCCAGATTTTCCTTTTCAACACTGAAAAGCATAAATTTAAACAATAAACCTAGGTCTATTCTGTTAGAAATTCTGTATACAATAAAAATACCAAGGAGGATTTTCAAACCAAATCACAAGCATGACTGCTGTAACATAACCTGCAGAGAAGTAAGCAAAATAAAGACCCAAATGCACATAAATATTAGGAGATACACTAATGCTTGTTGCTGTTCAGTATTGTATTTTGCCACCACAGCACTGCTGTGCTGAGACAATAGTGCTTCATAAAGTGTGAAATTACAAGTGCTTTTCTAAGATTAATTAACTGTAATTCAGGCCCTGAAGTAGCAATCCACTGACAATGTACAATGAATAATGAATGTACGTCCTAGATAAAAGGATTCATTGTCTGAATCTCTAACATGGGGCCTCCAATTTTGGAATGAAAGGAAAATAAAGATGGAACAATGTAAGGCAGAAATGCAATTAATCTGAAATTTTGTTGAAGTATGCAGCTTTAAATATCTGAAATTTTGATTAGCTAAGGTTTCCTTAAAAAATAGCTCCTAAAGTGAACTCCTACAGCCTTACAGTCACTGATTTAGATATTTACCACACTTTTGCCATTTAAAGATGATTTGTGACCAGTAATTGCTTACTTTGCCCTTAGAAGGAACTCCTTGGAGTGGTCCTTGCTCAGAACACTGCACTGTACCCCAGGAGTTCTGCTGCAGGGGTTGCCCACAGCTGCAGTAGCACAGGCACTGCTGCTTCCTCAGGCATCATCTACAGAAGTTGGATCTGAGACTTAGCACGTGTTAAGAAACTTATCTAGAAACCTTTCAATTTATACTGCTATGGTCACAGTTTACTTGGGGCTGAACTTTTCTGATGTTTCTTTAACTCAAGATATGGTTTAGACATTTATAAGAGTTCAATAGTGAAGATACTATTTTATTTCTGTTTTTATTTAGTTAATATTTTAACAGCATCTGTTCCATGCTGGAAAAAGAGAGGATCTAATTATTACTTTCCTAATTATAAAAAAAAAATCAAACATGGGAGGATGAAGCACAAAGAGTACAAAGGAAAAGACCCCACATAGAATTTTGTGAATTCTGCTGGTTAAATTACTACTAAAAAACCTGCAAGTTAAACGGTTCTCACTGTGCTACATACCCTAATAAAAGCCAAATCAAGAATACTACTTCTTCCTGTCATCTGGACTCAACAGCAACCACAAATTCAGGAAGAGTAGCTTCTGTCACCATCTGCTTGTCCTTTCTCCCACAGCATCTTTCTGCTACTTGCTTCTGCTCACATTCTATTCCACAAACATACATTTTGTACACATTAATATAAAATTTATCAATATTGTACATATTTCAGCCAAATAAAATTTTATTAGCGAAAAATAAACATTCTTGTTGGAAAGCTTCACACGAACTCAAAACTGGCAATCCTTTTGGAACAAATAAAGGCCTGAGATCCTGCAGCTCCAAGAGCAGATAACTGAAGGATTCTAAGCCCCATAAGCCCTTGATAGTAGAGACACACATGGGGCACCAAATACACATAAAGGAAACACATACACACCAAACCCAGCCAGGAAAACGAAATGGGGAGGGGATGGAATAGACATGACTTGCAAGATTGGAGAGGAAGGAGGGCATGTAAGATGTGAGAAGATGTGAGATGAGAACGTGCAGATAATGGAAAAGTGGAAGTTCAGATCTCAGTTATGTTACTTAACACATTGTAAAGCATTTAGAGACACTGTTTTAATGTAGAGAGTGAAATCCATGCACAGGTGTAAAACAGAGAATAAAGCCTCTCTCTCACAGCTGAAAGAAACATTTCTCCTGTTTTATCCATGCTGAGCTTCCATTAAAAAGGCATCAGAAAAAAAAGGAGCACTTTAATTTGAATAAAATCAAACATGACTGAAATCAAAAGGAAGAAGCACCATCATAGAGCAGACTCATTTTTCAGCTCCTCTGAAAAGCAATTCTCAACAAAAGACATCTATGAAAATAAATTTTATAGTGAAATTAAGTATTGTGACTATATTTACCAAAAATATTTCTAGGCAATCGCAGGAAAGGTCACAGATGCACAGTAATAATTAAGATGGTCTTCTGTCCAAAAGGAGCAGCTTTTGATGTCAACTATCCAAGTTGGAATGGCTGTGTCAAACACCCTGTGCTGCCACAAGCCTTCTGAGCTCTCATTATATACTTTGGAATTTTTTCCCCTTCCAGGTTAAGCAAGTCTCACTTTCCATTCAGACAGTAGTCTCCTACACAAATCCAACCCCTAAAAGGAAAGTGACTTTACACAGAACACAGCCTCTCCTCATGTGCACTAAGGTAGTAACTTTCAATGGAAAACCAACAACCTATGCTGGACACTTAAAGACAATTAGAACCCCACAATAAACCCATTTGGGAAAGGCACAACTTTTTAACACTATTTTCTACCAACAACCAAGTATATTCTTAGAAAATTATTAAGAGATTAAATAAAAATTAAATAAGAAAACTTTTCTGCTGTAGAAACCATCACCTGCACATGGACAGCATGATGTCATCCTCAGACATCAAAAAAATCTTCTGTCAGATTGGGAAGTCTGCTGTGAGAATACAGCTACACATACCGACTTTTAAAATGCTGTTAGGAGTACACATGCTAAAATACCTCTGTATTCTTAATGCAAGCACTCTTATAAAAATTTCATGGTTGGACTTTTATGACTTTCTTAAAGTACCCAGGCATTCCACATCCACCTTAATTGACATGCATTTCAAGTCACATTTGACCTTTTTGGTTTCTCACATGTTGAAAATGAAGGAAGAATTAGCCTAATGTTTTAAGACTGTTGATCAAAGTTCTTAGAATATATTTCAGCTTTTGAAGTAGTATATATCTGGCAGTTTTCCCAGAAGGGGGAACCAAGTCTCCTTTTTTATGACTGCCAGGACTAGCCCTGCCTCCTGGTGCTGCAGCACACAGGAAATCACAGAAATGGAACAACAAGTCAAGATATGACAGAGAAATTTACAGTGCATGCATTTAACTCAACAAAAACAGAACTATTAAAATGCAGAAACTCTAGAAAACAATCTACAGAATATTACATATATTGTCTTGCAGTCTATAAAGGTAAAAACACCCTTTTAGATCTGATGGCAGTACTCCTTCAAGTATTATGCTAAACTTACCTCAAGATCAAAAGCGAAATGCCAATTTCAGTTTTGATTTCAAAATTAAACACGTTGTCAGAGAACTTTCATAGTAAATCCAGTAGGGAATTCTAGAGGGTAATGGTCTTACAACTAACATCTCTGAGCAGCTCCAAACAAAAAAAGAGAATGGAAATGAAACTGCATAGAGGCATAGCTCAAACTGTCCTTTGCCTGTGTGACAGTGAAAATGCTTAAATTAAGACAGCTTTTCAAACCGAAACTCCTGCTTTTGATTTAAACATTTTAAAAATTGCTGATTTCTAAGACAAAGTCTCTGAACAACTATCAGTCCAAATACCAGCTTCTTATGTTAAAATTTACAAGAGTTAGGCTTAATGTTTCTTGGCCACAGCAACTTAATTAGCCTGCTGCTCTTCCATCTTCTGTTAGAACTGCAGTTTCACTACTGATAAACCCTGAACCTTGGAAACAGTCAGGCTCCTCAAGAAAATTTTTGACCAATGCAATTCACTTAGATCCACAGTGCACTTGCATTTAATTACCGTGTAGAGTCCCACACACAGATGTATTATTCATGAAGATGATCATATGAACTGAGCTGTATCCCAAATCTGAAGGAAACTCTGAGCTATGGATTCAAGCACAGTTTTGGTTTGTATTTGTCTCAGGTAGTTTTCAGTCTTTTGAAACAGTAACTCGCCTCCTTTTCACTATTACAATATTGATTACATACAGACCTTATTTAATATTCACTTTTGAAGCATGGCTACTTAACTGAAAGATTACAGATGTTTATTCAATAAAAAATGCATGGATTTGCATAATATATTTTCACATTAGACACCACTAAATATTCATATTATTTATAGATTCCAAGCTTTGGTTAA